TTTGCGAAGCAGGGACCAAACATGGTCCAGCGAAATTCCCCCATAGGAATCACTGCTTTGCGAATCGCTATAGGGATCGCAAAAAGACAATGTCTAGCGAAAAACCTGTCATGCGGGGTAACTGTCTAGCGAGGCACCACTGTATCTGTATCAGGCAAGTGATGCTCCTATTTTATTATGCCTTAATTTCTTCCTGAAGTTATTAAGGTATTTTTGTCTTGGACTTTAATCTGTTAGCTGCCCTGGACTGTTTATGAAGCATGTGTGTGTGCAAATACAAAATTTAAAAAAACACAGATCTTTCTGTTTCAGTATTTCATACTTGAAGATGCCATTCATTGACTGAAATATACTCTTATTTTTCAAAAGTTTCAACCTCAGTAAAGCGGTTTGTTTCTAAAAAGTGGGAAACACTGGTTGAAATCCGATTGCTTAGTGCAGAAAGTTGATCTAGAGTAGGCCTGCTGTATCCGTGGGGATTGGACGAGTCAACTCCTCTGTAAATGCTACTGATTCCAATAGGCCTACTCTAGTTGCAGCTTACCGCACTAAAGTAAGCCACAGCTAGAGCAGGCCTATTTGAATCAACTGAACTTATGAGTTGACGGAGCCACTGAGCAGTGGGTCTACTCTAGTGCAACTTACTGCATTAAGCAACAGACTGACGGAACCACTGATCAGTGGGTCTACTCTAGTGCAACTTACTACATTAAGCAACAGGATTTCAGCCCATGTTTCTCTCTGGACCAAAGTTCTCGTGCTGGCTGGGATATTCCAGGAATGATCATTCCACACATAATAGTGGCTGTCTTTGGTCAAGGTGGCCACACATCTGCCACTGCAAAGCACGGTCCTCTATCTGAAGGTCTACCAAAAAAGAAAACCAATCACCGGAAATATCTCCCGTCTTCGAAAAGCTGGTCCAGTCCACGTTGGATTTAAAGATAAATAACCAAAAGAAGTGAGATCACGGCCTCTCCCATGAAGTGGAAATTTACAGTAATTCTGTCTAAATTATTAGCATTTTTAAGCCATCTGAGATCTCAGGAACCCAAATTCCCAGAATAGTCAGCCAGATGCCCCCAGGAGAAACACGCCAGCCCAGAAACAAGTCTTGAAGTTTCTACTAGCTCCCCTTCAGGTTTTTTTTTTGGGGGGGGGTCTCATCATCACTGTCTGTAAAATGGGTCTCCTTTCATTGGCTCCAGTAAGAACCATGAGAATCCTCAAATTCAAGGAGCAATCTGTTCTAGCTCTGCTGTTCTAAGATGATGGTGCTCAAGGCGCAATCCGGTCCAGCTCTGCTTTTCTAAGATGATGGTGACGATTATTGATTACTATCGGGCAGGAAAACTGGTGGCCTTCCAGGTATAGTGGGACTACCAGGCCCATCTGCCCAGCCAGCAGCCCCAGGGGTTGGGGTGATGGGAGTTGTAATCCATCAACCTCTGCTCTCCCACGCGTTCTCTATCCCCAGGTTGGGACGAAGCATTCACACGGCCCCAGACAAAGAGAGGACCTACCTTCAGGAGGTCCCCAGAGTCAAAAGATCTTTCTGAACACCAGCGTGAAGTACAGCCAGCCTCCCGTGGCCTCCCTGATGGGACTTGTTGTCTCCCGACGCCTAGCAGGCACCCTCTTCCTGCTCCCAGTTTAGGCGCTCCTGCCCGCTCTCCCCCACCTTATCAGTTTCCTCCTTGTGGGTGACACATACACATTCGCCGGAACTGCAAGGCGCTTAAATGTGGAACTCCTTTTTTGTGCAACCTCGCGTTTGCTCGAGAGAGAGAGCGGAAGCGGGCGCACTTATTGCAAAGTTTATGGCTTGTCTAAGACACACACACACACACACCTCCCTCTTTGCAGCCTGGCCCGTGGGCGCATTGCTTCTGACTCAAACACACACAGCCGGGCAGGGGTCAGATCCTGAGGTTTCTGCCTAAGGGGATCTGGCCTACATAAATAAAAGTTTGGGGAAAAGAAAAGTAGAGTGAGCTGCAGAGAAATTCTGCAGAAGACTGGAGTGAATCAGAGAAGTATTTATTAATAAATAAATAATTCTGTTTTCAAAGGGACGCGTTCCCGTCTTGCAAACAATAAATGAATGAAAACTCTGACTTGTCAGTCTCGTCCTATGGCATCTACTCTGGCTCACTAGCTGCTTCATACACAACTCACAGTGGCGATTTTAAACCCACTGAGCTTCATACGGTTCGAAAGAAGGCCTCCTTCAAGACTCCAAAGGCCTCCAACCTTTTTTGGTATTGTTATTTTGAGTATTATGGTTCGCGGGCTGAATATTATTTTTTAAAAAAAAACAAGTTTCTAGGCCTCATGATCACCAAAATGTGCTCAGAAGGGCACAGGAAAGGCCCAGTAATCTTTCAGAAACTGCAGGAGTTTCCCAGTAATCTTATAGAACCTGGGCGTTAGGCATAACCAGATTCCGTAACTAGCCATTTTGATGCTGGGGGTTTCAAGTTCCATATCAAGCTTTGATCGCACGAGGCCCACATTTATGAGCAGAGAGTGAAGAAAAGGGGTACCACTCCTGGGTTTGAGCATGAGAAAGTTCTGCAAGTTCCACCCTGAAGCCCCACATTCCAGGTTTCCTTCTCTCAAGGAAGGAGGAGCTGGAGGTGAAAGATGCATCAAGGCAGATGGGTTCACTCCCTTCTACCAGCAAATTTTTGCACCCCATTAATTTCAGCAGCTAACCAGACCAGTTTATGTATTTGTTTGAAGAGCCAGAAGTCAGGAGTTTGATTCCCCCCTCAGTGGTTTATGTATTTGTTTGAAGTCAGGAGTTTGATTCCCCCACCAGGCCTGCTAGGAGAAGAGTCAGCGAAGGGGTTTGAGTAACTCAGAGAAACTACGGGAGATGCCGTGCAGGGACACCCAAGACGGACATGTCATAGTGGAGAGTTCTGACTAAATGTGATCCACCTGGAGTAGGAATTGGGAATGCCACTCCAGTATCTTTGCCAAGAAAACCCCATGGACAGAAACAAAAGGCTAAAAGATATGAC